CAAACTTCACCTGCTTGTAAACCACTCATGTACCTAATCTGACCTGTATCACTCATCTTTTTTTTTTGAGTTGGAGTCTCTCACTGTCACCCAGACTGGAGCACAGTGGCTGCTCCTGGCCACCACAGCATCGACCTGCTGAGCTCCGGCGATCCTTCCGCCTCAGCCTTCCAAGTAGCTGGAACTACAGGAGTGTGCTACCACGCCCGGCTAATTTTTGACTTATTGTAGAGATGAGGTCTGGCCAAGTTGCCCACGTGGGTCTCGAACCCGCGGGCTCAGGCAATCCACTCACCTCGGCCTCCCAAAGCACGGGATTACAGGCTGAGCCACTGAGCCCAGCTGTACCCCACATCTTTAATAAAAATAATATAAAATAAAATTAAAGAAACTCAGCTTCCTTTTTGCATAAAGCCTTGCAGGATCTGCTCCTGGCCATCCTGTCTCATTCAGTCCTTGGTTCTGCAACACTATCCCCAAATTGAACTATATGGGTGGTATTTATTGTAGCCCTGACTGGCTCCCTTTCTTCCTTCTTGGTCAATAACCATCAAACCAGGGATTACAGAAAAAGATCCCAGAAATCCTGATAGTGCACAATAGTGTGCAAACGTTCTTTTGGTCAGAAAGATCAGTACTGCTTTCCTTTCTTCCCTGTCACCTTCCCTTGGACTCCAAATACTCAAACCACAGAGAGGACCAACTTGAAACAATCAATACACAAAGAGCACAGCTTCTATTCCTGCCACAAGGCATTATTTTTGAAATATTATATTTTTAAAACTCAAGAGTATATATTTCTTGACTTGTGTATGTTTTCCCACCCAGGGGATGCATTTGAAGCTCCTTGCAACCCTTAAATCACATTTTTTTTAAAGAGACAGGATCTTGCTCTGGATTGTAGTACGATCATAGCTAACTGTAGCCTCAAACTCCCGGACTCAGGTGATCCTCCCATCTCAACGTCTTGAGTAGCTAGGACTACAAGTGTGTGCTGCCATACCCCACTAATTACATTTTTTGTAGAGACAGAGTCTTACTATGTTTCCCAGGCCAGTCTCAAACTCCTGGCTCCAGGCAATCCTCCCACCTCAGCCTACCAAACCACTGGGATTATAGACATGAACCACCACACCTGGTCCTTAAATCACATTTTATGCAGTATCCTGAGCACAGTAAGTGTTCTGCTCAGTAAGAATGTTTACTATTGATATTGATAAATAAACCTTGCTTAGATGATAACACAAGGCTTTTAGGCATGGAAAGAACAAAGAAAAGAGGAGTCTAACCTTTTTAAAAAACATGACTATCTTGAGGCCTTTTACAATAATGGAAAGTAATGTGAAACCTAGTGAATCAGAGATTCTGAGAAGAGTATAACAATAACAAGCTTGAGAACTATGACTCATGTAGTAGGCTGGATTTTCTGACTATAGCAGGGTACATGCATATAAAATTCAACTCAGTCAGATGCAGCTAAAGGGCTCACATGACCCTAACTGTGGTGAAGTGAGGAGGCCACAAAGATGGACACATTTCACCAGCATCTGGGACTCTGGCTACCACACCAGAGTATAGACAGAGGCGGTAAGTACCTCTGTGCCCAGTTCCCAGTGTTGGAGGAAAACCTACCAGGGGCCCTGCGCAGCTTTGGGGTTTACTGATTTTTTTCTACTTGGAACTCATTTGCTGTTTTTGTTTTTGTTCTTGTTTTTTCTGTTCGTAAGGCAGAAGTCAAGGCTATTGATTTGAGACCTTTCTTCTTTTCTAATATGGTGTTTAGTGCTCCAAATTTCCCCCTAAGTACTAGTTTAATAGCATCCAACACATTTTATGTTGTATTTTCTTTTTCTTTTTCTTTCTTTTTTTGAGTTGGAGTCTCACTCTGTCACCCAGACAAATGCAGTGGCTGCTCCCGGCCACTGCAGCCTCGACCTGCTGGGCTCTGGCAATCCTCCCGCCTCAGTCTTCCAAGTAGCTGGAACTACAGGCGCACGCTACCACGCCCGGCTAATGTTTTTGTTTTTGTTTTTTTTATTGTAGAGATGAGGTCTCGCCAAGTTGCTCAGGCAATCCACTCACCTCAGCCTCCCAAAGCGCGGGATTACAGGCTGAGCCACCGAGCCCAGCTTATATTTTCATTTTCATTCGGCTCAAAGTACTTTTAAGTTTTCCTTCTGATTTCTTCCTTGACCATGGGTTATTTTAAAGTATTCTATTTAGTTTCTGCATATTAGTTTCAGGATTTTCCAGAAACCTTCGTTATTGATTTCTATTTCAATTTCATTGTGTTCAGAGAACATAATTTATATGACTTGAATACTTTTAAATTTAATGAAACTTTTCATATGACCCAGAATATGATATATCTTCATAAATGTCCTATGTGTACTTAAAAGAATTATGTATTATGCTGTTGTTGAGTGAGGAGTAATATAAATGTCAATCGGTTCAAGTTGGTTGATGTGTTTAAGTTATCTATATCTTTGCTGATTTTTTTTTAATTGTAGGTTACATTTAAAATTTAAAACTGCAATATCTGCAACTGAGTTTAAACATTATTGTTTCATTTTATTTTGTTAAAATATGTTTCTTCCTCTTGCATGCACACATACATGTACACACACACTGTCACAATTTGGAGACTACAGAACTGGAAAGAAAGAAAATATCTGATTGTGACGCTGCATCTTTGAACAAATTTCATTGTTCAATAAAGCACTTTTGAAACAGGGTTATTTTATCTCTCCTTGTCTGACCTTGTAAGCTACTTAATTGTAAAATATGCTTTTATTCACAGTGCCTCTTAGTACTTTATTCTTTATGCTAAGTCATGCTCCCACTGCAAATAAAACAGGCAGCAAAAATCTTTAACAGAGAGAAAGAAATATAGTGTTTCTATTATAATGCTATTTACAGGTGTTTCTGTTTTAACAGGATATATAAATGCTTGATAAACCTTCCATTCTGCAAAATTGTATATAAAAGTATGGTTTGTGGGAAAAATAGGATGGGGCCATAACACTCAAAACATATATAACTTTGTAGCCAAAGTACTAATAAAATTATTATTATTCCAACTACAACACTATCATTCAGTAAATGTCCACCGTCATTTGTACCCAGGAACACAGCTGACTTCTGCAGTCTTTCATCTCAAGATAGAGATCCTCAGGGGCATTCAATAGATGACACTGTCATCAAAATTCAAAATCTACCCTGAATCTGTGCTTTCTTCAACAATCAACTGAAGTTTTTTCCTACAGCTTCATGTTATAGGGAGGACACCAGTTCTTAAAACCATTAAACCAGTCACTACTTGCCCAAGGGGGGAGGAACTGCCACAGTATTCTTAGCTTAAGGCTCCTTTTTTTTTTTTTTTTTTAAACTACGAGAAAGCTTGCCTGTGAATGCTGAGGGGAAAAAATTACATATGAAACAGTGACATAATTTTCTTATACCAAGTAAGTATAAATTTGCATTATAGAAAGGTGTTGCAGTTTGAAAAGTCTGTATTTCATAATTCTTTAACCTTGAAATGCATGATTTTTCTAGTCATTTTCTTGGCAGCAGCCACCATTGGGAATTTAAATCTCTTTCCTCCCAAGATCACAGAACACATATTTACTGAGCACTTATTATGTTCCAGTCTGTTCTAAATGCTGGAGACACAGTGGTGAGCATGACAAACAAGTCCTGTTTTCACAGACTTTACTTTCTGGTGGGGGATACAGAAAATCAACAGGGAAATCAATAAATATGGTAATATCAGGTTATACTTGCTATAAAGAAAATAAAACAGGGTGATGGCATATAGAATGAGATGAGGGGATAACCATCTAGTAGAGAAGCTACTTTAGATAGGAGGATCAGGGAAGACTTCTCTGAAGAGGTGACACTGGAGCCTAGACCTTTAAGATGAGAAGGAGTTAGTCACAGCAAGACCTGGGGAAGATGGTCAGGCAGAGGAACAGTAAAGCGACAGTAAGTACAAAGGCCTTGAGATGGAAGTAAGCTTAGTGTATTTGAGAAACAGAATGAAAAGTGGCTGGGGCAGCATCTGGGATACAACCCGGATAGAGTGCCACATGTCACCACCATGATGAGATTGACCCAGCAACCAAGTTGCTGACTCATTCCGTGTCCTCCATGCCTAAAGTGGCAAATGGCACCCCAAAATGCAACTGACCAATCTTCATTCGAGTGTCAAATCTATAGGCAATGCAGTATGACACACTTGGTCACCACAATGAAAGGCTGAATGAGTTTGGCCGGTCTGCGGGAGTTGTTACGTTCTGATTGTGGGCTCTCTCCAGGAGTCAGCTGTGGGCCAGGGAGAGGGGGCTGGATCAGGGCTTCTCAGGAAGCAGCCTGGGACATCTGGGGAAGGATGAGGGTACAGAGTGTTGGGGAGGGACAGATAGGATGAGCCCAGAGGGGAGAATCAAATTGTAGCCAAGGCAAGATTCTACATGTCCCTCCAGAAAAAAGTCACCATTTTGCTGCTTTTTCCAGCCCTGAGAGCCATCGATACCCCGATGAGCCAGTGACTTTTCAGTCGGCCAGAATTGTCTAGCAAATAGCCAGTTATTAGAGCTTCACTGTTTTTGCAGAAACCTTAACCCACCCAGACCAGTTCTGTTGTGTTGTCCGCAAACTTTTATGTTGCTTTGGAATCTACATTTCTTTTCATGTTTAATACAAATGCCTCCTTTTTTCAGAAAGATTGTATCTCCTTTATGGGAAAAGTCTCTTCGTTCTCTTATTTGGGTACACTTGCAGTAGTTACCACAACACCAAGGCAAGTTTCCCTTCTCCAGAGGGAAACTCACGGCAAGTCCAGTACTATTTCAGGGGGAACTTCTCATGTAGCTTAATGCCACAGTGGGAGACAAGCTTTGTGGATTCCAGTTAGCAGTTTGTGCTGCCAAATGATACTAGCACTCTGAGTTTCATGATTCAGGCTATGGCGATGAGAAACTGGACATGCGGCTGCTTACCTGTTCTTCCTGCAGCGAATTGTGAAGGCAAGAAAGAAAAGTATCAGCAGAAGTCCACAGCTGAGAAAAGTCCAAACAATACCCAAGAGGACAGGAGATAATGAAGAGGTGGTCCTACTGCTGTGTTGGGAAGATGTCTGAGGACAGAAAAAAAGAGAAGCTGTTAGAAATGAGGATCTTCTCTAGATCAAACATGAGCTGCCCGATCACCACCAGTGCTGGGAAGTGCATGTCCCACAGGAGCAGTTCCTCTGCCTCCTCCTCCTCCTCCCCACCACCATCACATACATCTGAGGAGGCCTAATACCCCACGGCTGCTCACTTACAATTGTTGTCTTGCAGAGATCATGAAGGGGTCTCCGATCCAGCTCCTGGCCAGGAAAACTGTCACACAATTCAGAGCAGTTTATTTCAGGCTCCATGTCAATCACATGCTCCTCTTGATGTGCGCTCATTCACAGTCTTGGTTACTCACTGGTAGGGATGCAGATCTCTGATTAAAACACAAGAGCAACTCAAGTTTTTTCTTCAGAGACCCCATTTTGGAGTTGGCTCCAGGCTCAGAATCTGTAATGAACAACCCATTCAGGCAGAAGCAAAGGGTTATTTCACGAGGCTCCTTCATCAGACATCCTTCAACTGGTCACCCTCCAACATCAGACATCTTTCAACTGGTTCCCTGCTGCCACTGCATACCATGTGAGTCCAGAGTGGGCATCTTAGTAACCATCAGGTTACAGAAAGTGATGATTCTGGCTGACCACCAGATGGCAGTCACTGCTCCAAGTATCCTCACACTGATGGCTGCAGAAAGGAAAGCAATTAAACCAGTTACACACATAAACACACACACACGTAAATATGTTTTTAAGCCATTATAATAAACAACATTTTCAAAACAAAGATAAGCCAGGCACGGTGGCTCACACCTGTAATCCCAGCACTTAGGCAGGCAGAGGCGAGAGGATTGCCTGAGCTCAGGGGTTCGAGACCAGCCTGAGCAACATGACAAGATCTCATCTCTACAATGTGCGCTGGGCGTGGTGGCGCATGCCTCTGGTTCCAGCTACTTGGAAGGCTGAGGTGGAAGGATCGCTTGAGCCCAGCAGGTCAAGGATGCCGTGGCTGTGACTGTGTCACTGCACGCCAGCCTGGGTGACAGAGTGAGACTCCTACTCAAACAAAACAATAAAACCAAAGATAAAGCACGTCTAATAACTTCTAGGTGCAAAGCTCTGCAGTCTCTCTTCAGATTCTTCTTATCATGCATCACTGTAAAAACTTTAGTTTAGACTTGTGAGGTGCATCTTCCCTTTTTTTCCCTACTGGGAAACTTTCTGCCCTTTCAAGGTCTCTCCATGCAGCTCAAGACTTACGCTCTGGTCGGCGGCAAGATGGCGACGGGGAACCCGGCGTCTGAAGCCCTCTGCAAGGGAGATCTGCAGTGGGTCTCTGACTCTCGCCCCGGGGGGCTGGGGACCCCAGCATCGCAGCCTGCTCTACAGACAGAGCTCAGCCGCTGCCATCGCAACGACTGGACAGTTTTGACTGCATTCCAAATGGTCCCGCCGCCGCTGCTGCTGCCCCTCCCCCCACCGCAGCTGCCGCTGCCGTCGCTGTCGCCACCGCCGCCGCAGCCTCTGGGAGGGATAGCATATCGCACCACGTGGCCCAAGGAGATCCACAACGAACCGCTTCAGGGAAGATCTGCTGGGATCGCTGCCACCTATCCTGCATCCGAGACTGTCCTGCCCGCCCGGCGTGGGGCTCCTGTTGCCTGCTCGGACGCAGGCAGCCATCTTGTTCCTGTCCGGCCCCACCCCCTCTGGGGCGAGCAGATGAGATAGCACCACCTGCTGGCGATTCAAGGGAGTAAACCTACAGCTCCGCTGCACGGACAGATTCCAGGGCAGTGGGAAGTGGGTTCCACATTATCCACACGCCTGTCAGCGAATACCAGGACCTGCAGACAGATTTTGAATCACAGCTCTCCCCTTAAATACATCTCAAACTGCAAA